ATTTCAGCTCAAATATTCATATCAAACCTTTGGACCGTGCCTGAAAAGGCCCGTTTCGAAAGATTTACTCCAAGGTCGCGCATTAATTTCCTCGGAAATTAAACAAGGCAAGTTTAGTACTCCTCGTCTTGCCAGTAACCCAAGCGATGATATTCCTGAATCTCTCCTAATTTCGTACTTTTTAGCCTCCGAGGCACACTAATTGTCCACGTCAGTTGAAGAAACCTTTCTGACATAGACAACAACAGCTTCTATTCTGGCTGTCATGGTGAGGTAGCCATAACACCGGTCCTAGGACGAGAATACTTACAATCGGTTGGTAGGTATAATAGGCCACTGACGGCATGGGGAAACAGTGGCTCAGTAATAAGGCGTTTGATCTTGCGTTTCGCAGTGCACGGCCATTGTAGTGGTGCCGACGGAGCTCCAGGCCTTCGGAACAGTTCCATTAGCAAGTTTACTTGGCCACTCGCTGGATTAGCATAATAAAGCAAGCACAAGCAGGATGTGTGAACTGATAGCTGAAGTAACCGAGGTTGGTGTATAAGCACTCCTCCCTCCCGTGGCGCAGTCGCTCACTGAATTAAAATGGTAAGGAAGATACAAATACGTAATACTTGTCAAGTCGGCGTATTCGCATCTACCAAATTTTTCTTTAGAAAGCTAACCATATGACATCACTCAAGTGGGGCTGCAGAACCAAACCTCGCCGAATAAATTTATGCTTGTGATACGTGACTGTTCTTCAGCAGGAGACCTCCTTGATGCGCCCCCCCGAACGCAGTTCTTCGCATTACCGTGGAAGTATACGTCATCTCAGTCAGGCGCGTTTAGCTTTATTCGGGATGCAGGTTTGGCAAGTGGCCCTGGGCCAACCTCAAGAGGGGTTGGGTGAATGTCATGATTGAGGTTAACAGCGCCGGCTTAGGGCCAGGTGGGTTAAGAATTGGGCTTAATTTAGGACTTTGAATTCGGCACAAGGCTACCTGTAATTCGGGGAGGGGGGCGGAGGGGTACTTAGACCCGTGCCCACGCGGGTTTCAGAATCGAGAAGGGAAGGCCCATGGATTTAAATCAAACCAAGCATCGTGCCGGTTCTCGACCTGCCTCACGGCTCCAATTCTGGACGGAAACTTGAAGTAGGGGCGGGGGAGGGGACCACTTATGTGGGCCGCCCACCAATTTTGTATCGCGTCCTGAGCATGGAGGGCCTGAGCGCCTCGCGAGTCGGGCGATGGGAAGTGCAGGTCCTACCCTCAGCATGACCGCAGATCGAGTTGTCTAGATTGCGGTAATCCGGTGGCAGTGCCTCTCCTCTGGCTGGAAGTAATTGTTCCGTGTCGGGCCTTTTTTGGGCGGGAGGAGGGGCATCATCGCGCTTGAAGATCATTCTGAAAACTTGAAATTTTTATGCAGTTCCGTCAATCCGCGTGCGCGCGGAGGCTAGCAACGTCGAGGAAGCTGAAATGCTGCATTAGCTTCGCCCTCGGGGCAGAGGGGGGAGGGGATAGGACTACGCTCGGGGAAAGGTTGCCTAGACCGACGGCTGTCCCTTGAAACACTTTCATGTCTCCCGCGGCATCGCTCGGAGGCTTTGTGTTTTGGAATGGGGTCTGTTTACTGACTCCCAGACCCTTGGCAGACATTTTCGCATCTTTGACCTTGAGAATGTGAGACAGAATACTAATGCTTGTGCACTTCGTGCGGCAAAGGGTCATTTGTCTTCAAGGAGAGAAAAAACAAACTTGAGGTAAATATACCAAACGAATTTGACTAATGAACATGGCTCCCATTCGGACGTTTGAGAGCGCAATTTCGGCGCCCCAACTCCCACGTTCGTTCTTTGAAATGAACGTTATCATTTTTCACAGTGCATTCATCTTTTGCTCCCGTACAATTGTGTCTGAATCAATGCACCCTTCCCTCGAAACCTATACGTTTTAGGGTCTGCGCTAAAGTCTCATCAGGTTGGAAGAAATGCCAGTGTGGGTCTCAGTAGACAGTCGTGACTGGCTTATCACTTTTAGAATACAGAAATTCCTTTGCACATAAACAGATCACGAATTCCGCTGGATATTGGTCCTGGGATGAGACAATCTCACGGCCCAAATTGGTTGTGGATATGAGAATTTCACCTTGCCGGTGGAAGCGAAGACACGAGTACCAGGAAGCAGTCGTGAAGAAGGAGACACGGTGGCTGGGACAAGAGCTTTATTTGGCTGACGTTTCGGAATCCTGCTGGGATCCAACATCAGAGACTATATCAGATAAGCGTGGTTCATACACAGGGGGCTGCAGTATTGATAGGGTGTAGTCACCATGCCACCGCATACCTATGATCATTCACGGCTCCCCACACCATCAGGGATCGTTGCACTTGATGTGATGACTGATGGCCGATAACCGCGTCGTTAATTGCTGCAATTTCATCACGTGTAATGGATGTTGGTGTGACGATTACTGAACCCGCGCAAATTCTTCAACCGGTACATACGCAAAAAGGGACGAAAGGCCAAACTGCAAGGACATCAAAGTTGGGCGAGTGCTTCCGTATGCCAAGAACGTTTCGAAGTTGTCGGCCGCCTTCTCACTCCACATGGGATTGGGGTTGCACACAGACCGGAAGCAACTATCAGGCGTCAGTTAATGAAACCGAAAGACCCGCTGCCACAGCCATAAACGTCTGGAGTGGTTTATCGGATCTGGTGCGGTTGCGGACAAAGCAACCGCGTCGGAGAAACCGGAAGACAGCTCCGAATGTGAATGGCCGAACACGCTGCAGCAGTGCGGGGAAATGACGCCAGCATTCAAGTTGTGGCTCATTCGACGAGATCCGGCCACACATTCAAATTTGACGAGGCCGAAATTCTCGCTAGAGGGGACAACCGCGTGAGCCGAGAGCTGCTTAAGTCATGGTTCACTGGCACCCAGTCCATCAACGAGTGCAACGACCTTCCCCTTTCATACTCGGTGCTGAGACTTCGCCTAGGCGGAGTAACTAGCCACGCGGGGAGCGCACAAGTGAACACTGTTCCCACCGCCAGGGTCCGTGGGTCAGGGTCCGTCGAGCAATCGTCACACCAACTTCCGACACACATGACGAGATTGCAGCAATTAAAGACGCGGTTATCGGCCATCAGTCATCACATCAAGTGCAACGATCCCTGATGGAGGGGGGAGCCGTGAAGGATCATAGGTATGCGGTGGCATGGTGACTACATCCTATCAATAGTGCAGCCCCCTGTGTATGAACCACGCTTATCTGATATAGTCTCTGATGATGGATCCCAACAGGATTCCGAAACGTCAGCCAAATAAAGCTCTTGTCGCAGCCACCGTGTCTCCTTTTTCGCCAATCCATCTTGCACAGACTGGCCTCATTGGCGCAATACATGGCCACTGCCATAAGAAGCTCTTATTACTGTAAGGTGGACACCAAGCTCTCACTGAAGAACATTCGGGAACTTCTCTTAAGAACCTCTGCTCGCTACACCCACCAGCGACATAACAATTCCTGGTGAACAGTCGCTACTATGGAGCTCATCAGCCACAGAACCCAGTTTTTCCTACCTCAACAAGGGCGTCTACGAGCTGACCTGAATGAGACGTACACGACTGCAGATAGGGTTGACAACCTCGACCCGCTGTTAGCCTCCCAATCCAGCCGCACCTCTAACCTCCGGAGACCTACTCCTCTGTTTTGTGAATTCAAAATTAAGACATAAGAAGTGGATATGCCCTGTCAGTCCCTGCAAAGGACCACATGGGGAACAGCTATGGCTGCCACTTGTTGGCATGTGTTCATTTTGTGCAGAAGGACACGAAATTTTTTCCTTTTTTCCTTTCAGTCGCCTTGTGGGTCTTCGTTACCGCATCCGGTTTCTGCATGTATTCTGGCTTCGTCATGCGCTCCATTTGTTAAAAAAAGATACTTTATTACAGATGAACAGTTTAACGAGAAGTTTAACAGTTGAGAGGAGTAAGGTGTGATCACTGGGACAAGCCTTTTGCATGGTTGACCTTTCGGATTCACTGGAGACCGTAGCAGCTGAGAGTAATGAAAGTAGACAGGAGACAGGATTTATAAGATTTAATTGTTATGCCCCTCCGATAAGAGCAATTAAGAAATTGTGTCACGAAATGCAACCACCCGCGATGAATACGGGAGCCGATAATATTGATAGGTGTGCGACGGCATGGTAACTGATTCCTATAATTGCTGCAAGCCCTGTACATTCATCGCGTTTACTTCTTGCCGTCCCTGGGGGCTGGAGTGGGAATCTGAAAAGACAGAGGGCGCAGTATTGTCCGCCCCCATGTCGCTGACATATTAGATGTACAAAATACAAGTGAAATTATGGGGGAATTTTGAACAAAAACGGCTAACTGGTCAATAAATCATCGAGTTGCTTGTAAAGCATCAAGTACGCGAATAAAAATTGCTTAAATCTATCCCAGACGCAAACGGGAAGCGTGAATATGACGGAATATTTGACTGAGACGTCTTGAAATTTAGGAATGTACCCCTAGACCCGCGTAACATCCACAACACCAATTAATCCCCTACATTGAGTAACCGGAAGATTACCCCTTAAGCTCAGCAACGAGGATGAATAGTGTCAACTCTCCTATCGTGGTTCATTCGACTGGACTTCCCGGCCAGAGGGCCGAAATTCTCGCAAGGGGTGCAATGCCCGTGTGACGCTAGTTGTCTCAGTCCGCAATAACCACCCGCCTGCGTACTCTTGGCTGAGACTTTGTCTGGACAAGGTAATGAGTCACGCTGGGAGTTCTCCGGTGAACAGCGTTCTCAATGCTGAGACGATAAGCAACACGACTGATGAGATTGTGGCAGTTAACGATTATGCTGCGGGGAAGCAAACCATTATCACACCAAGTGAACCCAGTAAGGTGAATGCAGGAGCCGCCAATGCCGATAGGTATGCAATGGCAGAGAAACCGCATTCTGAAAATACTCAGCCCCTGTGCCTCCACTATACTTATCTGATGTTATCCAGGGGGGGGGAACTCGAGTTTGAATCTGAGTCATCAAGCGAATTAAAGCCTTGTTCCTGCTCCTGTTTCTCCTTCTTCCTCTTCTTCTTCTTCTTCTTCTTCTTCTTCTTCTTCTTCTTTTTCTTCTTCTTCTTCTTCTTCTTCTTCTTCTTCTTCTTCTTCTTTTTCTTTTTCTTCTTCTTCTTCTTCTTCTTCTTCTTCTTCTTCTTCTTCTTCTTCTCAGAAAGTGGCATTTTTGCTGGTACCTAACTGTCACTGTCGCCAAAGCAGCCATATAACATGTTCGGTTAGTAATTCAACACTGCATGCATATGTACCTGCTCAAGCACACAGAAGAAGCCCGATGAGAGAACTGTCTGAGAATGCGGTAGCGAGGAGTCCAATGTGGGCGTGAACGTTGTTCAAATGTAAAACAGATGTTTTCCAGGGTTAATCTAGCTTTCAAGGTGAATGTGTACATAGCCTGCTGGCACCTTTCCTCGTCCAAATAAATAGAATGGTCTGTAAGGTTAAGTAGAGCAGTATGTTATTGTCATTTATACAGAAACGAAGTAATGCCACCTGACAGCAATTGATTCACTTTTGTGGCCTAATCTGTCAGATAATGTGGTGTATAAATCTGGGCTGTCAGAAGCTCGATAGGGGAAGATCTAATCTTACGCGAGAACATCTGATATACGGCCGTTTCTCGATCAAATAATTTAAAAATTGTTTAGGGTGACGGCGAAAACTGTTGGGATTTAAAATGTGAAATCTGCGCCCAAGATGCTCTGAGCCAACGGTTTTCAGGGGATTTGTAAATACAATTAAACCAAGCAGCCAAGTTTCGTCATTCTCCTTTCATCTCGACTGACAGGGTGGCAAGATATTTCCTTATTGGATCTAGACGCGGCAAGAAATCCTTGGAGTAAGGCACTACTAGATACGAATATGAGTGTTTTTATGTTATAATCCCGAAAAACTGTTGCAAAAACAACAAAGTTTACAAAATTTGACCGCTGAAAGGCGGTGTATTTTGCCACATGCGTGTATCATCCGACGGCTGTGTTGCCTGATTTCATCGTAACCGCGCAGAAGCCCTCGAATGCTATGCTCCATCCTAAAAAAAAGTGTTGCAGGGGCGGTAGATTTTGCGAAATTAAACTGTCGGATATGTTTTTGTTGCACACATGTACGTCCCATAATACCCGACTGTTTTTTTCGATGATTTCATTGAAACCCCGAAGAAGCCTTCAAATAGTATGTTCCGTCCAGTCTACCAGCGCATCTCGCGTGCTAGAAGCAAATGCAACGTCCAGTTTATCCTTTCCTTCCGAGTACGCCAGACGGGTTGCCTCCACCGCGTGTCTCTGAAATGACCTTGAACTTACTGGTTCTTATTCTTAAGATCCATTAATATTCTGCTTTTTGCGTATCTGGACCGTAGTATATTCCAAGTGCTCGGGGTGTACATAAGCCCAAAAAGTTTGTCCCAGAACCACGCCTGGCTGCTGTCTTTCCAGCTTTAGGAAGGACTTCGTAGAAGAATTTGAGCCTCATCCGTTATCGTCGACCCCAGAGCCATTTCAGATTGCTTCACGCATTACATGTCGCTATGCAGTTCCGATGACAGCTATTGGTCTTTCTTAACCCCTTCACAAGCATTCCTGAACGTTTGCTGTTTAAGTCTGCCTTCACACGATAGGATACCCAAGGCAACAGAAGAATACATCGAAAGTGCTGGAATGAACACTTTGAAGAGCTGCAATTTGAGCGTGGCTGGCATGAATATTTGCATATGAAGCCGCCGATGCGAACCGCCTTGCGTTAGCATGTGGGGACAAATTCATGTTGTTTGTGTAGGCGAGGCTGTCATTCATGTGGAAGAAGATCTTCACAAGTGACTTATCAAGAAAGAGCTGTGACAGCATTTTGGGGTCAGAGATAATGAGAGTGCATTTAGGTGGTGAGATAAGTATTTCTCAAGGTGCACTCTTATCCTTAATCTAGCGCTGACTGCTGTTAGCAGGGACAGGTTTCAAAGCAGCAGTGAATGCAAACGTTTCTACTGTTGTCAATCTTTGTCTTGGCAAAGATTAGCAAGACGATTTTTTAGTTGTCAAGTAAGCGTTTGACCCTCGCTGTTGTGGTTGGGATCGCACTTGATCCCATTCTGTCCGTCCACCAGTTTGCTACCGACGACAACCAACGTTGTTTCATAAAACACATACCACATATAATACATGAGCAGTTTACTAGGGGTTCGACGGTTCAGACGCTGACAGCTGTTTCGCGGTCGTCGCCGATCATCAATGCGTCCAAACCCTGACCTCGAACCTAACCGTGTCTCCAACCTTAACACCAACCCTACCTTAATCGTATGCCTGATTTCTCCGGAATCCAGAGCAAGGTCACCTGTGGGGTGGGGATGGGGAGGGGAGTTCCTGGTTTGTATCCTGCCTTACCACACCCCCGAGATATTGTCAAATAAACGGACCGCGAAATGGCGACATGTGCCGAAATGGGGAGATGACGCATGAGTTCCCCATGGTCGAAAACAGGGTGACCCCTAAATTCACAAGTAAAGGAAGGACGAATTATGTATGGCGAGCTTTTCCCTGAAAAAGAGTGTACAGCAGGCCCCAGAGCGCGTGCGCACCCCTGCCCTGCCAATTTCGTCCACAGCTGTTAGCGTTTGGTACAGTCGTTGGATTAGCATTGTTTTTGTTCATCGAACTGCTATTGTTGTCTAATTCGCACATGGTCTTATTTAAGAGAGCAGAGGAGCTTTGAGGTATATCCAATGTGTTAGTTTCATTGGTCCTGCTGCACCTGATTCTTTCTCCTCCGAACTTTCAACTGGTTTGAAGGTTCTCCCACACTCTCCTTCCTGAGAATCAGAGAGACCTGGTCTCTGGAGTGTTTTGTGAATGCTGCTAGCCACAAGCCGCCTTTTTAAAGTCTCCTCGAAATCCGTCTCATTTCCTATCCATTTGACCAGCTGCCCTGGGGTTCATGCGCTAAGCACAGTACTTCAGGCACTGTCTTCTAGCAGGTCCCTCTGTCATCATTAACTTAAAAACGATTGTCGTCGACTTACGTTCAGCTCTTATTCCTGCCCTGCGAAACGCTCTTCTTCAAAACCCATCTGACCGTGACTCTGTCTGTTCAATAATTTCTTAGTTTGCAGAAGTCAATTTTTGTTGGGCTCTTAACGCAACTATGGTCTTGATAGTTTCTGTCAAATAAGAGTGGGTAACTTTAACAACATTGAATCTCGAGTAGGTGTTTAATTGGCCAATTAGACAGAAGCTCACATTTGACGAGAACACCTATTCCGGCCGCTGGGGATCGACAGCAGCAGTCTTCCTCATCTTTTGGATCAAAAGCGAAAATCCACTTTCGAGAAGAGTGTGAATGTTGTCTCCTAAATGAAATCAGAAATGTCCAAAGATACTACTTCGAGCAAACGGCTTCTTATGGACCAGGTCGCTCTTAGAAGGAAGCACATGTTCCTTCTCGTCCATGGCTAAATCTGTCTGTTTAGAGTTAACTCAAGGATCAATCATCCACACATGCCTTCTTGCTTCACGCAAAGGAAATCACCCAGTCACCGGTAGAAAGAGAGCTCAACCTCCTTCTCCAGAGTGACTCTACATGAAAAAACCTAAACAACTGGATCACGTGAGCATGTTTTTGACGCCAGATTTTTCAGGCACCTGTTTGCTTCGTAGTTATTTGAGTCCAAGTACATCCTTGTAAAATCCTGTGGAAAAGGAGCATTCCGATGCTGCATGTCGTCCGTTGCCGTCTATGTGTTAACTGTGCCCCTCCCCCCCCCCCAACGGGCCACGTGGTAGATGCGCTGAACCAACACGAGGGCCACATCGGATTCTGGCAGGCGTTATCGGACTGTGTACCACAACAAATGCCAACATCCCGGGGATGCGGTGACAGACCCGGTTATCGGCAGACGTCGCGCACACTGGGACCCCTGAGCTCAACCGTGCCATCCACCTGCGCTCTTGCCCGCCTCCGGTATTCTTGACTCTATCTTGACACCGCCTGCAGGCGGGGAGGAGGGAGCGCAGTAAATGCAGCGCAAGTCCACTGTCACCTTAAACTAATTCACGCGCAAGTCGCCGCCCCTGTTCCACCTTGCTGTGGAGCTCACGGTGGACATCGTCGGCAACGACGGTCAAACTGTCAGGTGCCAACTGGACCCGATAGTTTTCGCGGCTGTAAAGACAGTGCTTAATTGCCGCACTCGACGTTACTTGCAATTGCGGGGAAGCTACTTTCGCAGATGTTCACTTACTTCCCCCCCTCCAAGTCAACAGGTGTTAAGAGAAAACCTTGTTGTAGATGTGGGTAGCGGTTGAGAGTGTAGGTTTATTGGTCTGCGCTCTTGGTAATGTTCATCTCTCTCGTAAATGCGTGTTCCGTATGAAAAAATGTATTATCGTATTGCAATGGTGTGCACTAAATGTGTTCGTTTGCATCTCTGAAGTGCTGGAGAAAAAAACCAACAAACGCCTTGTGCGAGTAAACTAAGCTGAAATACCACGAGGGTTGTCATGCCTTGGAGGAACGTGTGCACTGCCTAGTGATGGAATCCGCATTTTTTCATTGTTAGTTTTGCAAACTGCACCAGTCTAAGGACTAGCCTGCATATATTCCTGGTCTGCGAGGGCTTTAGCTTGAGTCCCGAGGCTCAAACGGGCGATGAAAGCTGCTCTTGTAAAAAGAGCTTTTCAGATAGACCATTGCTAACAGGGCAATTCCCACAGCAAAAATCATGCCAGCGCATGTAGTCTGTTCCCCTACCTACTGTATATGGGGATATGACTGTTTACTTGAAATTACACGGTTTATCCTGGTTTCAAAGTGTGAGAACGATTCCGCGGACACACACACACACATTTCCCCGATGTTTCCGTACCCAATCTCTCTCCCTTGTCTTTGTCCGTAATAACATACTGCCTATATCATGCGCCGCTGTGCGGCTGTTGGTTGGACTCGAGTGAGAGCCCGTAAGGCACAACGGAATGAGTGAGTTCCGTATTAACGATCGGTGAGCGCCCCCTACCATTGTAAGCTTCATCCGTTAATGGCGATTGTCGCTTCTGGGAAAAGTGTTGATACATTCAATTCACCAAATGTAGAACAAGAATTCTAAACGGTCACACAATGCATTCGCATAAATGGCACTCTTATGTATAGGCTAAGGCGGTTGAACGAACATGCGAACCCA